CCCAAATATTTTATTCTGTCTACAGTTATTTTAAATGGGATTTCTCTTTTTATCTCTTGCTGCTAGGTTTTCTTAGTAATATATGGAAATGCTGATGATTTATGTGGGTTGCTTTTATAGCCTGCAACTTTGCTAAAGTTGTTAATTATTTCAAGTAGTTTTTTAGTTGATTCTCCGAGTATACCATCCTATCAGCTGTAAAGAATGATAGTTTTGTTTCCTCATTGCCTATTCTAATTCCTTCAATTTCTTTTTCTTCTCTTATTGCTAAAGCTAACATTTCGAGTACAATATTGAATAACGGTGATAATGGACATCCTTTTTTCTCCTCTGATCTTACTGGGAAAGCTTCCAGCTTATTCCCATTAAATATAATGCTTACTGATGGTTTTAGACAGATGCTACTTATCTTTTTAAGGACAACTCCATTTATTCCTATCCAGTGTTTTCAATGGGAATGTGTGTTGTATTTTGTCAAAAGCTTTTTCTGCATCTATTAAGATAAGCACATGATTTCTGTTGGTTTTGTTATTGATATGGTTGTTTATGCTGGTAGATTTCCTAATATTGAATCAGTCCTGCATTCCTGGTACAAATTCTACCTGGTCAGAGTTTATTATCCTGGTGATAAATTTTTGTAATCTCTTTGCTAATATTTTATTTAACATTTGTGCTCAAAAGTGTCTGAGACTCTAAGAGTTGTGGAGAAAATAATTGGGGTTACATAAGAAAAGGTGTTCAAATGACCATGCTTTTTGAATCATTGATCCCACTCCTGGACACATATAGTCCAATGACTTCAAAGACAAGAGATAAGTTCCACACACACACAACCACATTTTCCTGGTGGGAAACAAAGTGCATGTCTATTGATCAGAGACTGGCTGAAAAAAATGGTGAGATATGGTGCCCTCTCTAAGAGGCTGGAGAGCAGCTGACTTGGCTTTTTTGACCTCTCCTCCTTTACCGCACCAAGCTCCTCTTGGACTGCATTGCACAGCACTTGGGCTGCCCGTCTGCAGCACTATCACCCCACAGTCACCATCATCTACCAGGACCTCATAAGCTATGATGAGATGCTCTCAGACATTTACAAGATCAGGATATCCCGTGAACTGGCTGTGCCAGGAGGTGGAGAGGAAGATAGCAGGGCAGAGGGTACCATTGATGATTCACTCATCACTGGAAATGCCTCTGCTGAAGGTCTTGACGGTGAAGGAAGAGATGCCACTATAATCACCGGAGTTGACACAGTATTAAATCATCATCTACAAGAAAATAGTTTCACAAAAAAATCCTACAAAAAGTACATCAAAGGTTATATGAAATCAATCAAATGCAGACTTGAAGAATACAAGCCAGAGAGAATAAGACCTTTTATGAGGAGAGCTGCAGAACAAATCAAACATAACCTTCTTAGTTTTTAAAACTATCATTCTTCATAGGTGAAAACATGAATCCAGATGCCATGGTGGCTCCCTTAGACTTCCAAGATGATGGTGTGACTTCATATATGATTTTCTTTAAAGACAGTTTAGAAATGGAGAAATGTTAACAAATTCAGCTGATTGCTTTGAATTACCCATCATCATAACTGGCTGCTGCTTTTTGTCATCTACACAACACCAAGACTTGTACAGATTTGGACTGATGCCATCATGAGCTTCATTCACTTATTTTTGATTTATCTGCAGGTAAGCATTGTTTTTTGTTTTGTTTCTTTTTTTGCTTTTTGGTGAGGCAATTGGGGTTAAGTGTCACCTAAGGTCACACAGATAGTAAACGTCAAGTGTCTGAGATCGGATTTGAACTCGGGGTTCTCCTGACTCCAAGGCCAGAGCTCTATCCACCTAGCTGCCCCTAGACATTGTTTTTAAAAAAACTTATCACATAGGTTGTGTCAAATAATGTGCATTTAACACCCCTCAATTGTGAGATGTGAATAAAATGTGATATTAAGTCCAGTCAATGAGCATTTATTAAACATTTATCATGTGTCAGTCAAAGTGCTGAACTGTGAAGACACAAAGAAGGGCGAAAACACAATTTCCTGACCTCAAAGAGTTCCATTAGAATTGGAAAACAACTGGAAAACAAAAACATCAAAAGTTTTATGTCACAGATGTTTAGAGCATCAATGGAAAATAATCTCAGAAGACAGACACTAACTGGGGGGATAGAGATGGGGGTTTTAATAAGGAAAGGTCACTACAAAAGGGCTCTTTCAGAAGGCAGAATTTGAGTCTTGGGGGATGTGAGAGCCAAGAGGTAGAGGTGAAAACAGAGAATTTTGCAAACATAGAGAACAGAGCCTGAGAAAGTGTGGAGGTGGCACATGGAGGCTGGTGTCTGAGGGACAGCAAGAGAGTAACCCAGGTCTCTGCATCTTAGAGTACTTGGATAGGAACAAATCATAAGACTAGAAAGGTTGGAAAAAGGCCAGTTGGTGAAGGGCTGTAAAAGCCAAAGTCAGAATTTTATATGTTATTTAGGAGCCTCTGGATACTACTGAAAAGGGAAGAAATATGGACAGACAGATGTTCTCAGAAGACCTTTTTGGTGGGTGATGGTAGACTATATTGAAACTGAGGGAGAACTGAGGAAAGGAGAGGCTCTTTCAATCACCTGGGGACAAATCAAAGAAGTCCTACACCAATGTGATGACACAGAGAGTGGAAAAAAGGGGATGTATAACAGAAATGTTGTATAGGTAGAAAGGACAAGGCTTGGCAAGAGAATGTTTACATGGACTGCTGATTCACTGAACTCACTGGATTACCAAGCAAGACCTTATAGAAAGAGAAGTTAAGAAGGAAGAGGACAATGCCTTGGAGGACATACCCATGTTGAGGGCCATGGCCTGGATAGAGATCCTACAGAAGAGACTCAGATGGATTGAAAAAAAAAAAACAAAACGAATAAGAAGGTGGAAGCAGTGTCACAAACACACAGAGAGGAAAGCCTGTCCAAGAGAATAGGATGAGCAAAGGTGTCAAAGACTGTGGAGAGATCAAGAAAGATAGGAATAGAGAAGAGATACACTTAAGACATGATAAAGATAAGAATAAGAGAAGAGATAAAGTCTTTAGATTTGCACCAAAAGTCACCATTTGGTAACTTTGGAGAGTAAAATTCAGTGGTGTCCCAAATGACAAATTCAAAGAACACGCAGAGCAACCTAGGTAATCCTTTATGAACCAATGTAATATGAGGTAAGGAGCACAGTAGCCATGAACAAAATGAATAAAAATGAAAACAACCATGAGCGGTTGCCATTCTCTATTAATTGTATTGAAACATCCTAGGAAACAGACAATGAAATACGGTTCCTTCCTGATGGTAGAGAGGCTGTGGGCTACAGATGCAGTTATCTTGGGAGGTTTTGCTAAACTGTTTCCTTATTTAGGAAGTATATATGCAGCAGTGTTGTATACATGTTTGTGTGTGTATGTTTGTATATATCTTTGTATGACAGGGAAACGGGATGAAAGTATGGGCATGAATCGGAGATAGACTTTATAACACCCCCCCAATAATGGATGTGTGATTTTTATGATGTTTATTAGTGTTTCAAATTGTTGAAGCTAGGAAGAGTGATTTGTTTTAAGTAATACTTATTTTGGAAACAACAGTAAATTCATGTCACTCTTAACAGTATAAGGCTGAAAAATAAAATTCATCCCTAATTCAGAATTTCTAGGAAGAATTGAGAGACATTGGTTCTCCACAGAAACATTTGTTTTTAAGCTTTGGGATGCCCATCAAAACTGCCAGCATCCTCCAATTTGGGAATATTGCTTTGATGCCTTTCCTACATCCTCCTCACTACATTCCCCAGTTTTCTTGAGATTTCACACAAATAGGCCCTGAGGAAAGGTTTGTGGAAAAAATGGGGAAAGTACCCATCAATTGCCCCCTCTCACCATGGCATGTATCTCTTTAATTTCGATGAAAAATTTCTCAGCTTTACATTCCCAGGCTGCTTGTGTTGCCAGCTCTTGTCTTTTTAATTCCATTTCTCTGGAAAAACAAAACCAACAACATAAGTGCTTAAAATGGGGAGAATGTTGACTTGGGCATCAAGATTCTTCATTTCTATTCCAATTCTTCCAATATTATAATTGAATAAATTAGGCATATTACATTCCATTCACTGAAATCAATAGTATATTGACAACTTTTTATCAGTTATTCCCTGTATGCCCCTTTAATGATTTGTACATTCATCACTATTTAACATTTCTCTTTTTATTCTGAGCATATATATTTCCCTGTGGGAGGCTACTAAATTAATTGATATTTTTTTGTTTTCGTTTGCCTGTGTGTATGTATATATGTGTGTGTGTGTGTGTGTGTGTGTGTGTGTGTGTGTGTGTGTCTGTCCTCTTACACAAATTCACAGGAATATTTCTAGAATTTTTCTTTTCCTTTCCACTTACTGATCAATTTTAATTCTTGGTATTATTCTTTTGTGTTGATAATCTAGAATTTCTTCAGACTGACTAAACTTGCCAGGCACCTCAGGCATCTGCAGGATTTGGGAGTAACCAAATACGACTACTACTACAAATGCTATAAGAATATAATCATCCCTTCTTTACTATATATATAAGGCACTCCATTGGGTGTAATTTCAGTAAAAGATGACAGGGACATATGGGGGGAACACCCTGTGATGGTTGTAACTTGATAAGCATTCTGGCACATAGTTTGTTGTAGTTTAGTTTACATTCTACATTCTATAACCTCACTAGTAATACATGAGTTTACCTGTTCTCCAGAGACATTCCACAGTAAAATTATCATTAGGAAGGTTTTCCATTGTAGAGGTAATTTCCTTAGCTATGATGTTTTCTTTTCTGCAGCTTCACTGCTTTCCAGCTGAAAAGAAATCTTTTTAAAGAAAGAAGTGAACATATTCTTCTCTAGAAAAGCAAAACAAAGAATTTTAAAGCAATAAGCTAACACTGCTCTGAACTTATCTCTCACACCCTTTGAGATCCAGCAATACTACAACGAGCCATATATTCTAAACAGGTTTTTTTAAAGGGAAAAGTACATATTTGTACAAAAAATATTTATAGGAGCTCTTTTTGTGGAGGCATAGATTTGGAAATTGAGGGGATGTCCATCAATTGGGGAATGGTTAAAGAACTTACAGCCAAAAGGGGGTGATTACCTCTGACTTATGGGCAGCTACACAAAAAGCATTCATATGCCTGAAAAGGAGCTCAGCAGGGAACGAGATGATGACCCAAGTCACCAAAGCCTTGTCATCCCTCCATCAATGACACCACAATGCTTCTGACTGGGACTGGGAAGCTATTCTAGCCCTGTCTTCTCTTTAGCATCCAAGGGAAGAAGAGAGTCAACACTTGAGTGTGTCCTGAAGACACAGGTGAGGAAAATTTCTGGTCTGAATATTCCATTTAGCATAGGAGGGTCTGGGTGACCCTTTGTGGAGGACTATTTAACCTGAGAGATATATTGTCAAATTCTAGATGGTGGAAGAGAAATAGATTCACCTATTCGAAAATGAAGGGGCCCCTCTCAAAATCCAGAAGTGAACAGCAAGGATGGAATTGCCCATGAGAGGAAAGGTGACGGAGTGGTCAGAGAGAATCAGATAGGAAATCTCCCTGAAAACGAAACTCTGACATGCCACTCTTTGCAAATCCAAAGAAATGCGTTCTCCCTTGTATTCCAGGAACAATGGCCATAATGCTGAGAAGCAGTACAATCTGGAAGAAAGATCCTGAGACCCACCAAGGTGGGAATTTCAGGGAAACTTGGTCAGTCTGAGGTCACCTATGTGATATTTGCCTTCCTTGTCTATTTTGAGAATTGGCCTTGTCTGTAGAAGGAAGAAAGAGTTACTCTGAGATGGTTTGTGCAAGGGACACACTCACAAGATGTCTTATAACCAAACAAGAAGAATCTCATGAAGACACTGCTTTGTATCCACAGGGAGGGACAGATTGTATACCATCCAAGTGAAGACTTCCTTAACTTTTGATAATCCCAATCAATCCTAGACTGGCTCTTGATGAAGTAGCTATTGGGAAGAATCTGCTAGGAAGACAAGAGTGAATCCTATTATCCCTTTAATGTGTTCACCACAACATATTCTACTTCTCTAGCCCCTTCTCTTGGTTCCAGACCCAAGGAAAAAAGGCCTTTAGATGAGCAAGAGAAGCAAACGATCTGAAAACAACTGAGGCAGTCAGTCTTTGTGGATATTGCTCATTATCAATCTGAGGTACGGCATCACTGTAGAGTAACAAATGTTTTTCTTCCTCCTTCTTCCTCTCATCCTTCTCCTCTTGTTCCTCCCCGAGTCCAACCTTACTACCATCCAACTGCTCCCAAAACCACATTCCACTGCCCACATTCCAATTCCACAACAGTCTAGGTCACTCGGCTTTTCAATGTAGTAGTCAAGAAAGAGATGGCAGCCAGTTGGAAAAGTTTTGTTGTTTCCCATCACAATTGGGCCTTCTCTAGGATTAGTCCTTTATGGATAAAAGAATATACACACATTCACTTTGATGAACACACACATACACACACACTCCACCCAAACAGGTATTTTTTTTGGTATCTATATATGTACAGATGGATAGATGGGGCTGAATTCACTATGATTCCACGCAAGTCTACAAAAGAAATGTCAAATGTTTTGTGTCCACAAAATTATCAAGTGTGTTGCTTGACCTCAAGCTACCATTTCAAGTCTATATAGCCTTTGGCATTGAATGTCTCTTCTTGCGTCCTTCTTGTATTTCTCGGGTATGAGTGAATGATACAATAAGGGTCATGTTAAAGTGAGAGAAAGGGTCTTTTCTATCCCTGTTAACACTACTCAAGTCCCTCAATTTACAGCAAAGAGGGTGATGAAGAAAAAGGACTTCTCTACCTCCATACTGACATTTCCATTAACATTTACTATTCACCTGGCTGAGTGACCATGGAAGCAAAGGTATATCGAGTTTTGAGCTTTCTCTTTTTTGAATCAATGGAACTTAGACTTCTAGTTCTCATATTTAGATACATAGAAAGACAGATAGATAGGAACATAATGATATAGAGATAGACAGAAATATACAGAGATAGATATACATAAGGATAGTAGATAGACAGACAGAGACATAGAGAAATATATAGATATCCTCTCCGTTTGCTCCTCAGGACTTCCAATTACCACTATCTTGGCAAGATTTATTTCAGTTTCTTAGCATCTGTGGCTTGGCGAAGAGCTCACCTCTCAATATCCCACCTTTCTCCTTCTCCCCGTCTCTCCCTAAAAGCCCTAAGCCTTTGACCATGGTAGCGTACTTAAGGCCTAAAGAAATGGAACAACTATGGGCTTAGACTACCTGATGAACACAATGAATATTAATGGCCAGCAAAGAAAGCTGCACATACCTACTTGGCCACAAATGGCTCCTAGGATCCCAGATAAAGATGATGGACAACACACCAAAACCACACCTCCAGAAAACACCACAAAGAAAATCACCCGACTCTCCTCTCCTCTCCACTGACCTCCACTGCACCTTCTACCACTACAAGGCAAATGCCACTGGATACCTCAGGTATCTTAGCACCCCCTTCATTCTGTTACCATGGCATGATGCAACCACCACAACAATCCTCCATCATTCCAGCAGACCACCTCAGAGTAGCAAAGGCAATGCTTCCTCTTGGGTTTGGGCTCTGGAGCTCAAGGAGGGCAGAGGTCAGGCCTAGACACCCTGGGGCCTTTGACTTTCATCTCCCCATCCTCTCAGGGGCCCTGACTTCCATCCTTTTGGAATCACACACAAGAGTTATGTGCCCTAAGTGATCTTCTCCTCCCACCAGGCTGAAATTTGCTTCTTTCAGTTACTTGGCACTTTCTTTTCTGCACCTGCCAAATTACCCACTGGGGCTGGAGGAATCTGCACTTTAGCCTCCATGACACCTCTCTTCTGACTTGGTCTGCACACATTATGGTTTCCCAACCTCAATCAGATCTCTGCTCCCCTCAGTGTCTCAGTTTCTACTATTCTGAGTCCCCTGGAGAGAAACTGGAGGCCAACTTCCTCCTAGCAAGAGAGAAACAGTTAATTTTCAACACCTGTTTCTGCTCACCTTTGCCTCTCCCACCTTGGCACACTGTTTCCTGGATCCTCTCTTTTAAGTCAGAGACTCACCTGTTTTCCTTTGAAGCAGAAAGAGCTCAATCTCTCCCCTGGACCAACACTGAAATAGAAAGCTCGTTTCTCTAGTGGCTTGACTTCTCTATGCAGTGTCCTAAGCAATCCTTCCTTTCCTCCAAAGAACCACCCAGGGCCCCATTATTCCTTCTATTCCCTCTCAGAACTGCCCTGAAGGTTGAAAAATGGTGCTTCAGGGATCTTCCTTACTGCCTGCCAACTTCACCTGCTCCCAACTTTTCCTTCCTCTTCAGCACAGAGCTCACGCATTCTTTTCTCTTCTTAGCAACTACAATCTGTTGACTTTCCAAGTTCACTTTTTCATTTTCCTTGTAGCCTCTCTTCTGCATCTCTACATCATTGCTGTGCTTCCTTAATTGGTGGTCTCTCCTAGACATTGTTCCTGACCCATGGTCACCACACAACCCTTCCACTAATCAATGGATCCTACTCTCTTTTTGGTCTCTTCACAGCAGCCCTTCATCCTGAAGGCCTCTTTATGAGGCCAGCTCATCCATTCCCTCTGCTACTCCTGCATGACCTTGACCTGTTTTGGCTTGCTTTCCTTCCCTCAACTTTCCCTCACACCTAAGCCACAAATTCCAGAGGCCTCACACCAAATTTCAGTCACTGGCCTTGCCCCCAATACCAAAATCCTCCTCTTTCCCTCCAGACTCCTCCTGGCTTCAGCAGCCCTACTTCAACAGCAGCTTCTCCTAGGAAGAGCTCCAGAAGAACCTGGCTGTCAATGCTCCTGCCAGACATGCTGTATGTTCTTTCTCTACCTGCTGCTGGTTCCAGAAATGTCTCACTCAAGGCCAAAAGGGGTTGGTTGCCTCTGCCTTGTGTGCTGCACAAAAAGCATTTGCATCCCTGAAAAGGAGCTTAGCAGGGAATGAGATGATGACCCAAGTCACCAAAGCTTTGCCATCCCTCCATCAATGACACCACAGCGCTTCTGACTGGGAGTGGGCAGCTATTCTATCTGTCTTCTCTTCAGCATCTGAGGAAGAAGAGAACCAGTAGTTAAGTGTGTCCTGAAGACACAGGTGAGGAAAATTTCTGGCCTGAATATTCCATTTAGCATAGGAGAGGCTAGGCAACCCTCTGTGGAGGACCATTTAAACTGGGAGACAGATTGTCAAACGATTTTTATTTTTTTAGGCAATTGGGATTAAGTGATTTGCCCAGGGTCACACAGCTAGTAAGTGTCAAGTGTTTGGTCTGAGGCCGGATTTGAACTCGGGTCCTCCTGACTTCAGGGCTGGTGCTCTATCCACTGGGTCACCTAGCTGCCCCTAGACTAGTATCTTGAATGATTACCGACATACCATTCCTAGCCAGAAAAAAAAAAAAGCATAGCAGTACCTCTGACAGAGAATTCATTATGACCAGACTGACTTTGTAGACAGATGCAAAGATAATTCAACATTAGGAAAAAAATATGATTGTGAAAATACTTCAGCCCCAATCCACAGAAGTATATTGAGAGATGCATAAAAAGCCTCTGACACAATACTAGTTGCTTAAACAAAAATAAAAGAAAAAGTCTTTAAAAGCATAAGCACTCACTAGAAGCACTCACTGTTAGTTTGTTTTTTAAAGGTACATTAAACAACAATCAGAATCATAATACCTGGCATTATTTTGGTAGGAAGGAGATGCTAATGTCCTCCTCCCAAAAACAAAAATCAAATTAGAGATGGTCCCTCTTTCCATTTTTTTTTTAAATAGGAATTCAGAAACTTTAGTTCTAGCAATAGAAATGATTATAATAACTAGAAGACAATAGAAAAAAAATTAATGGTACAAACTCCAGAAAAAGAGAGAGAAGATCAGACTTATCTGTAGATAAGTGGGCCTTGGAAAATCCCAGCAAATCAGCAAAGAAACTAATTGAGATAATGAAAAATCTTATAAAGGTTCAAGATACAACAAAGTTGATCAAAAGATCAGTACTTCTATATAGCAATGATATCCAGGGGGAAACAGTAGAAAAAGAAATTATATTCACAATGCAACAGCCTTAAAAAACTCCCTATGATAGGAGCTAGGTATGAAACCATAAATAAATTAATACATGGTTAGTAAATCTGTAAATCAGCAGGAGCCTTTTCAGAAACAATTTAGGACTATGCAAATAGAAAGCAATTAAAATGGCCACACCCCTTGACCCAGAAAATCTGGTGCAAAGTTAATACCCAAGGAGGACAATGATAAGAAATTTCCTGTATATATCCAAATATTTCTTTCTTGTTGTCCAGTGTTATCTGACTCTCAGTGACCCCATTTGGGGTTTTCTTGGCAAAGATACTGAAATGGCTTGCCATTTCCTTCTCTAGCCCATTTTACAGATGACGAAACTGGGGCAAATAGGGTTAAGTGACTAAGTGACTTGCCCAGAGTCAAAGTTTCTTACCTCTAGCTTTACTGACAAAGGAAAAAGCCATCCCTTGTGATTTCCTTTTCTCCTCTATTCAGTACCTATCATTTTAAGGACAATTCCATTTAGTCCTATCTCTCTAGCATTTTTTATATGAATTTATTTATTTTTACTTTTCAACATTTACTTCCACAAGATTTTGAGTTCCAAATTTTCACCCCATCTCACCCCTCCCCCCACCCCGATGGCATGCATTATGAACACCCCTTCCCCTAGTCTGCCCTCTCTTCTATCTCTCCCCCCCTTCTCTTATCCCCTTCCCCTTCTGTTTTCCTATAGGGCAAGATAGACTTCTGTACCCCATTTCCTGTATTTCTTATATCCCAGTTGCATGTGAAAACTTTTTTTTTAAACATGTGTTTTTAAAACTGTGGGTTCCAAATTTTCTCCCTTCCTCCCTTCCCACCCGCACTCATTGAAAAGGCAAGCAACTCAATATAGGTTATACATGTGCAGTTATGCAAAACACTTCCATAGTAGACATGTTGTGAAAAACTAACTCTATTTCCCTTAATCTTATCCTGCCCCACCCCATTTATTCTATTCTTTCTTTTGACCCTGTCCCTTCTCAGAGGTATTTGCTTCTGATTACCCCCTCTTCCAGTCTACTCTGTTCTACCTCTCCATTTCTTCTTCTCCTAGTATAATTTTCTCTCATCCCTTAATTTTATTCTCCAGATATGACCCCTTAGTCTTCAACTCACCCTGTGTCCTCTATCTATCTATCTATCTATCTACATACATATAATTTTTTCCCCTCCAACTACCCTCATACTGACAAAGGTCTCATGAGTTATAAATATCATCTTTCCATGAAGGAATCTGAACAGTTCAACCTTAAGAAGTGTCTTATGATTTCTCTTTCCTGTTTACCTCTTCATGTTCCACTTGAGTCTTGTGTTTGAAAGTCAAATTTTCTATTCAGCTCTGGTCTTTTCATCAAGAATGTTTGAAAGTCCTCTATTTCACTGAATGACCATTTTTCCCCCTGAAGGATTAGACTCAGTTTTGCTGGGTAGGTGATTCTTGGTTGTAATCATATGTCCTTTGCCCTCTGGAATATTATATTCCATGCCCTGCGGTCCTTTAATGTAGAAGCTGCTAAATCTTGTGTTATCCTGATTGTTTCCGCAATACTTGAATTGTTTCTTTCTGGCAGCTTGTAATATTTTCTCCTTGACCTGGCAACTCTGGAATTTGGCTACAATATTCCTAGGAGTTTTCCTTTGGGGATCTCTTTCAGGAGGAGGTCTGTGGATTCTTTTAGTTTCTATTTTGCCCTCTGGTTCTAAAATATCAGGGCAGTTTTCCTTGATAATTTCTTGAAAAATGATGTCTAGGCTCTTTTTTTGATCATGGCTTTCAGATAGTCTAATAATTTTTAAATTATCTCTTCTGGATCTATTTTCCAGGCCAGTTGTTTTTCCAATGAGATATTTCACATTATTTTCCAATTTTTCATGCTTTTGGATTTGTTTTACACTGTCTTGATTTCTCATAAAGTCACTAGCTTCCAATTGCTCCATTCTATTTTTTAAGGAAGTATTTTCTTCAGTATTCTTTTAGACTTCCTTTTCCATTTGGCCAAGTTTGCTTTTTAGGGCATTCTTCTCCTCACTGGCTTTTTGGACCTCTTTTGCCATTTGGGTTAGGCTATTTTTTAAGGTGTTATTTTCTTCCGTATTTTTCTGAGTCCCCTTTAGCAAGCTGTTGACTTGTTTTTCATGATTTTCTTGTATCATTCTCATTTCTCTTCCCAGTTTTTCTTCTGCTTCTCTTACTTGCTTCTCAAAATCCCTTTTGAGCTCTTTCAAGGCCTGGGACTGATTCATATTTTTCTTGGAGGCTTTGGATGTAGGAGCTTTGACTTTGTTGTCTTCCTCTGGTTGTATGTTTTCATCTTCTTTGTCACCAAAGTAAGAGAATATAGTCTGACCCTTTTTGCACTGCTTGCTCATGATTCCAGCCAATTACTTGAGTTTTAAACTCTTTGTTAAGGTAAGAGTCTGCTTCCGATGTGGTGAATATACTGTCCCAAGCTTTGTTTTTACAGCTGTTTTCAAAGATACTTATAGGGACCTATAAATTTTCAGTTCTTGCAAGGTTGTATGATAAGGGGCGAGGTGTTCACTCCTTTCCTGGCCTGTGCTCTGGTCTATTAGTGACCACAAGTACTCCTTTCTGTCCTGGAACTGTGAAGAAGGTTTTCTCTGCACTGCCACTGCAAGCTCCACCACAGTACTCCTCCTCGCCCCAGGGCCTCCACCCAGAACTGTGACCCAGATCCAAGGACAGGCAAAGCAAGAGATTCCTGGCTCAGCACTGGCAAAGAGATCCCTGCAATGTCCCTCTGATCAGCCACTAGATTCCCCCTCAGTCTGTGGGCCAGAAGCTCAGGACGCAGCCATCACTCCGGTGGCTGCGCTCTGTGCTCTGGAGCTGGCTCTCACCACGCTCCTCTCTCAGCACTGCAGAAACAGACTTTTCCCACTGACCTTCTAAGTTGTCTTTGGTGTTTGTGGGTTGAGAGGTCTGGAAGCTGCCACAGCTGCCTGAGATTCAGTCCTCTGAGGCCTGCTCCAGGGTCACTGCGGCCTGCACAGCCACACCACACTGCGCTCCTCTTCCCGCCCAGCTTGATATACCTTTTTGATCAACCATCCAGGTTGTCTTGGGCTGGAAATTTGCTTCACTCTGTCTTTTTGTGGGTTCTGTTGCTTTAGAATTTGTTTAGAGGCATTTTTTATAGGTATTTGGAGGGGTTTGGGGGAGAGCTCAAGCAAGTCACTGCTTTCACTCCGCCATCTTGCCTCTGCCCCGTCTCTCTAGCATTTTCAACGGGAATGGGTGTTATATTTCATTAAAAGCCTTTTCTGCATCTATTGAGATAATCATATGATTTGTTAGTTTTGCTGTTGACATGGTCAATTATGTTGATAGTTTTTGTATGCTGTCTCATGATTGTCATTCTCTTGGATGAAGTTATTGTTTCCATGATTTGTTATTTGACCCACTCATTCTTTAGAATTAGATTATTTAGTTTCCAATTAATTTTTAGTCTCTTCTGATTTTGATCCTTGATCTTCCCTGTCTCCATAGTAAGAATCTATGGTCATTGTCTGTTTCTGCTTTTTGTTCTTCTGGAGCACAGGAGGCACTGGCTCAAGCTTCTTGTGCTGGGAGCTTGGGACCTGGTCACTGGCTTTGTGTGCTGGATGCCTCAGGTCCTGGCAACTGGACTCTATAGGGATTTGGCAGCTTACCTGGTGCTGAGCTGGGGTCAGCAGCACTGAATCCCCCTGGGGGAGGGGCCTGTCCGCTGGAGGATGCCAACTCATCCATGGTGCTATGAAGCACTGGAAGGCTTGGTCACCAGAGGATGTCTGCCCACCCGGAGATGTGCCTCCTGGAGTTGTACTGAAACATTGGAGGTTTGGATGTTGGAGGACACCTGCCTACCAGTGTATGTGGTGGTTTTCCAAGCTGGAGTCTACTTGTTCCCCTGCCTGTGCCAAGGCACTCAAGGGGTCCTGGTGTTGGCACTTGCCTGCCCCACCACCTTGGGGTTCAGGATCTCCTCCCAGTTTGCTGAGGTGTAGCTTGCTG